CCTAGTAACGTCTAACGGGAGGACATTGCAGCCCTTCCTTTTGCCACTCCATGTGCCCTGAATTCTGCTGGAGTAATTTAACTTGAGCCTGGAGAGGCAGCAGAGCTGAGTGCAGGTGGCTGGACTCCAATCTTTGGCTCCTGCGTCATCGTCACAGTCACCGCTATGCTGATGCCCTGTCTGTAGTTAACAAGCTCTTCCACAGTCCATCTTTGGGGGTTGGGGAGTGGCTAATGTAAAAGGGAAAAGCTGATTGGAGTCAACTGTACTAAGGATCAGTGACGACGGTGGGTTCTGAATGTACACCTTGGCTAAATGGACTAAATTGTAAACATTGCTGTCGTTTGGATGTTGAAAGTCCAGAGATCGGCTGTGAGAGAGGCTGGTTCCATGCTTGTGCCATTGGTAGGGGCCAGGTCTTCAGGGGGTGGGGCCTGATGGGAGGCCTGTCAGTTCTGACTCTTGATGTTAGCTGCTTTATCTCTGACTCCTGTCCCCATCATGATATGGGGCCCAAGGAAAAGGGATCCACCCCATCTTGGACTATGAACCTACCAGAACGATAAGCCCCAAACTAACTTTGCAAGTTAATTACCTTAGCTACTTTATTATAGTAACAGACAGCTGCCCAGTACAGTTTAAAATGCAACAGGAAGAAAAACAGATCCATTGTGTTGGTGGGCAATGGAGACCATTTGTGCACGTTCACTCTGCTTTCCCTGCTTGCCAGCACAGCACCCTCTTGGTTGTAGTAGGGCACGAGGCAGTGCATTAAAGGTAACTGAATGCTTTCATTGCTTTTGGAGTAGAGCAAGTTGTAGAAGAGTATTATAGTTGTAGGCATGTATGAACCCTGGGCTAACCCATAATCTCTCCTTGCTAGTTTTCAAGGCATGGATCAGGGTCATTTGAAAGAAAATGGCCGTCAAGGGGAGAGGCACCATTGGGAGGTGTGTCTTTGTTGGAGTAGGTGTGGCTTTTTTGGATGATGTGTGCCACTGTGGAGGCGGGCTTTGAGGCCTCATACGCACAAGGTACCTCCCATGTCCTGTTGCCTGTAAGTCAAGATGTAGGATTCTCAGCTCCTTCTCCAGCACCACGTCTGTGCACCATGTTGCACCATGATGGACTAAACCTCTGAAAATGTAAGTCACACCAATGAAATGTTTTCCTTTAAAGGAGCTGCCATAGTCATGGTGTCTCTTCGCAGCAATAGAAACCCTAACTAAGCTGGTCATAGTCTATCAGTGATTAGAAGATACACACCCCCAATTCACAGCCTGAGCCAAAGGTTTTGCTCTTCCTCTACTTCTAGCCTCCCCTTTTTCATCACATTTGAAACACTGGAAGCTGTTACCCAAGTCTCCACTGTGACAGGAACAGACCCCCAAGTTAACTTTCTTGCTTAAGGCTTTGGGCTAGGAGAAGAGTTGTGGCTCATATGTCTTTTCGGAAAGAATCCTTGCTCACTGGGAAATGTAGTCCCGGGGAAGATCACGGGCTTTGGACAATCGTGTGCAACAGCTCTTCTTTTTGGAGAGGTTAGGAAGAGGGTTGGTCTAGTCTTCCCCAGGACTGACTGGGCCACTGTGGGAGCGGGGCTGTAAGTGCCCTGCTAGAAATGAAACAGTAGTGATGAATGGATCCCGAGAGCACAGCTCTGCTGTCCAGAGCTGCTATTGAGCTCTCCCATAGCATTGCTCTATAAGATGGGGATAACTGCCAGAGGTGTGGCAGGGTGAGCAGAGATAAAGGCCAAGTATTTTGTAGGAAAGGTGATTCTTGCTGTTTCTGTGTTAGGTTCTGGCTCCTTATGAGATTCCAGCTGCTCATTGGCTGGGACCTAAGGAAGTCTTGAGATGCTGGCAGAGAGACTAGGAGATGCAATTTACAGAACAAGAATCAACAAGATGCTGCGAGTTTCTCCTCTTCAGGACTTGTCACCCACTCAGATCCCCTGGTTCTGCCCTTTCTGTGCAGTTTCCTACCCTCAGGCAGCCATGCAGCTGGGATGCTGGGCAAGCCAGTCTGGACTCTGGTCCAGCACTGAGCTCCGAAATGTGCTTTTGGTGAGGCAAAACCATGATTATTCTCTCTCTCTCTCTCTCTCTCTCTCTCTCTCTCTCTCTCTCTCTCTCTAAATTTTCCTTTAGCTGTCATTCAGTTGGAACCTGTCTTATGCTATTATTTTTTTTTTGTTTGTCCCCATCTTTCTTCTTATGGGACAGAAAAATTTAAAAGATTGGTACTTTCCTTCAAATGCACCCTGCTGTACCCCTCCCCCTTCAAATGCACCCTGCTGTAGCTTCTCCTCAGCCTTTACAGTTCATTTTTTGGAGTGTTTTACAGATGCCAATGGAAACAGTTCACAGTAGATATTGCCAGGACATTCAGTTAAATACTAATGTGAGACCCGTGTGTGTGTGTGTGTGTGTGTGTGTGTGTGTGTGTGTGTGTGTGTGTGATTGTGCATGTGTGGTTGTGCTTGCCTGTGCATGGTAGCTGACTCTTTAGAAGACTTCCTATGTTGCTTCCCATTTTAGTTTTATAAAATAGGCTCTTTCTCTGACCTGTAATTCACTGATTCAGCTAGGCTCCGTGGCCCTGGTATCTGACTGTCTCTGTCCCGCCCTCCAGCATGGAGATCACAAGCATATGTCCCCATGCCTGGCTTTTATGTGGATGTTAAGGATCTGAACGTAGATCTTCATGCTTGCTTAGCCTCCCTGATGAGAGGTTCTTATTTTTTCCTTTTTAAAATTTCTTCTCCTTCCTCTTCCTCCTCCTCTTCTAATTCTTTTTTTTTTTTTTTTTTTTTTTTTTTTTTTTTGAGACAGGGTTTCTCTGTATTGCTTTGGAGCCTGTCCTGGAACTCGCTCTGTAGACCAGGCTGGCCTTGAACTCATAGAGATCCACCTGCCTCTACCTCTCAAGTGCTGGGATGAAAGGCGTGAGCCACCACAGCCTGGCTTTATTTCTTATTTTTCATTACGTGTGTGTATGAAGTAGGTACGTGTGTATGCTTGCATGTGCACATGTGTGCTAGGGCAGGCATCTGCAGAGAACTGAGGAAGGCATCAGACCCCTGGAGCTGGAGGTGCCGGCAGCTGTAACTCACCTGATGTGGATGCTGGGGATTGAACCCTAGAGGAGATACAAGCACCTTTAACCCCTGAGCTGTCACTGCAGTTCCCATCATGAGGTTCTCACCAACGTGCAGAAGTAGAATGAAGGACTGTGTGATATGTTTGCACACTCCCACAGCAGTTTTACTCCAGTGTTTCTGTATCGTCAACAGAGTAAGAGACTGGGAGGAAGAAGGATAATTCTCCGTATAGCTACTTGGATATGACTTTGGGGATTCAGGCTCTCTCTCTCTCTCTCTCTCTCTCTCTCTCTGTCTCTGTCTCTTTCTCCCTTTCTCCTCCCCACCCCCTCTCTGTTTCTATCTTTATTTCTCCCTTCTCTCCCAGCCCCTCTTTTTCTCCCTACATCCGTGTCCATTCCCACCCGAGGAATAACTTGGTGGATGAAGAGCCGTACCCAGAGTACTATAATACCCAGAATGCACTTCCAGCTTCACCATCTCCTTTCTGAGTGGTTTTTACCCCCTTGACTCTCAGCTTCGTTATGCATAAATAAGATAGGGGCTCTACCCCTGAGACTAAGGCACTCGACATTTTTATTATTTGGTGGATTCTACCTTTGCCAGCTTGGTCCCTGACAGGTCCCAGAAGCCAGTTACTTGGATAATTCCCAAATCAGATAAATGCCTGAGAAGAACTGGCAATCCATTTTACCCACAGAGCAGTCCAGCTGCTGCAAGAGACACTGTGCTGCTGGCTGCTTCCCAGCCAACCCGGAGCAGAAGCTGGCTAGAGAAGCAGATGGATGTGTTGGACAGGCTAGCATGGACTCCAAATACAGCATGTGGGAAATGCCCATGTCCCTGGGAAATACCCATGTCCTGGGGAAGAGGGCACTTAGTGGTGCAGTTAAAAAGTTACTCAAACTAGGTCCTGATTGCTGCCTCTGCAGCATCTATAACTGCAGTAAGGAGCAAGGTCCCAGGCCCACCAGTACCACAGATTTTTGGAAATCCTAGCAAATGTTAATAGCTGTTGTGATCCTGTGTCCTTTACCCCCAGGACTCTCAGGGGTTTGGGCCTGAGCATCTCCCCGTGGCTGGGAAGCCCAGGCTCCAGGGCATAGTTCCAGCCATGCCAAGCAGCTCAGCTTTTGTGATGCACCAGTTGGGTTGTGATTAAATTTCTGATTGAGAACTTCAGCATTGTGGCCAGAACAGGAGGGCAGGAGTGTTTATCGCTGTTTGGAGCCAAACGGCCCTTTCCAAGGTCTCGCCAGCTCTTTCCTCTGTCCCCTTCTCTTTGGGTGTCGGCCAGAAGACGGAAACAAAGCAATATGGTACTCCTTCTTCCCAACCCAGAGAGAAGGTGATACGGGCAGGAAGAGCCCATTCCATTGTCTTCCAGAGCACGCTGTAAAACTGGCCTGCCCACCCAGGGCGAGTGTAGCCTGGAGGCCGAAGTCTTGCTCACTCAGGCAGATCTGCTTTCTTGGCAAAGCCGGACTCGCAACTCAGGCTTGCCTCTTTCTGCATCCTTTATTCAGACAGTTCACAAGTGCTCTGCTGGGAAGGGCGATTAAATAGCACTAAGTGTATTTTTCCAGTGTCCACCCGGCAAAAAGAGCATAAAACAAAATCAAGGAAGCCAAGGACTGAACTGTCATTTTTTCCCCCTCTCTCCCCTCAAGGGGCGAGGGGAGTCACATGACTGCGAGTAACTGATTTAGCCAAGTGGCTGCAACTCAGTTTGTTGCAGAGCCGCCCCCTCCCGGCGGGAGCGCTGACGTCACGGAAAAGCCCCGTCGTGGGGCCGCCAGGCGAGCTATAAACGGCGGCCGGACGCGGTGGCTTTAGAAGGCGGCACTGCCAGCGGATAGATACCACACGGTCTCGCGCTGCGGGGCCGGCATCGCATCGCAGGCAGCAGGCATTGCAGCCGGCAGCGGGCAGCGGGCAGCAGGCATTGTGCCGACCGACGGCAGACGCCCACCCTGCGGCCAGGTGCAGCCAAGTAAGGGGACATCGCACAGGGGCGGAGGGGGAGTTCTGGTCACGGAACTTTTTAAGTTGGGAAGGGAGACCATGAGGTCTGTGCTGGCGGTTCTCCCATGGGAGAAATAAGACCAGGTGCAAATGATATACTACTCATGGGGGCCCCTTGATCTAGTCCCGAGGAGTGTCACTTTATGGATTAGGTGGCCAGGTGGCCACCGACCCAGGGACTGTTTTTATGACTTAAAAAGAAACCGGCTGGTTTTGGCTATTGGCTTAGAAGTTGGGGTGTGGAGTGGGGTGTGTGAGCTCAGTGCTATCCTTGCGTTCACGCGGGCACTTGCTGAGTTAATGGCAGATGCTTCTGTGTTCTCTCGGGGAAGTCTTGACAGAAGAGACTGCCCTGTCAGGCCAGGAAGTGTTGCAAGGAGAAAGTTGTAGGGAGTTGTGAAGTGTCTTTTCACTGAGAGTCTTTGACCTTCTGATTGACTTCAAGAAGGTGTAACTCTGAGCTAACTAAATAAATCTTGGAGTGGATGAGGTTCGTTAAGATCGAAGCACAAGTTTGATACGTGCAAATGTGAGCAGGTCCTTCCCGTGTCAGAAGGACGAGGCTCAGGGCTAGTATGCTAAATAGTATCTGTGGGCAAGAGGCCAGAGGTAAGGCATGAACCTCAAACTGCCCCACTCCCCAAATAATGTTCTTTTCAGTCAGCTGGAAAGCATCACAAACTTTACTAAACATGGAAGTTCCCCCAAAGTGCCTGTCAGGTCCAGCCAGGGGGGTGATGTCATTGCCACGTGTTTCCCTCTGAGGCCCAAAAGACTGCAAGACGCTGGTGCGATTAAGAGCCATGTTTAGACAAGAGTAGCTAACCTGGCCAGCTGGTCCTCAGTAGCACTGACTTGTTGCTGATGGTAAAGCCATTTCTGGAGGCAGTGGGCTCCTTCCAACTGCCTCTGTGCCAGCTCCCAGTAGAAATTTCAAAGTTACTTTAAGGATGGAAGAAGCTAATGGGCAGTTGGTTGTGTTATTGGGACTGCAAATGACAGCCTGCTTAAGAAGCTAGCTACCGTGTGTAAATGTGTGTGTGTGTGTGTGTGTGTGTGTGTGTGTGTGTGTGTGTGTAGCTGGAAGATTTGCTTGCTAGGGCCTTGGGGACTGTTTCATGGTGCTCCTCATGCTAAGAATGCTTAATTCATACCCATCCAATGGAATGCCTCTGACGACAGTGTCTGCACTTCCCCGGGGCTAGCTCATCCTTGCTAACATTGGCATCTTGACTGCTTTACCTCCTAGGACCCCACAATGACTCTGAATAATGTCACCATGCGCCAGGGCACTGTGGGCATGCAGCCACAGCAGCGCTGGAGCATCCCTGCTGACGGCAGGCATCTGATGGTCCAGAAGGATCCCCACCCTTGGAACCTCCGCAGCTGCCGCTCTACCACTCCTGAAGACCACAGCCGCCAGAGCTGGTCCTCCGACTCCACAGACTCCGTCATCTCCTCCGAGTCAGGGAACACCTACTACCGAGTGGTGCTTATAGGGGAACAAGGGGTGGGCAAGTCCACCCTGGCCAACATCTTCGCAGGTGTACATGACAGCATGGACAGCGACTGTGAGGTCCTGGGAGGTAGGTGGCCCAGCCCCGGTGGGCTTCTGTCTTGTAAGCTGAGAAAGCTAAAGCGGTTGGGTCATTTTTCTGCAGAATTGGAAGCCAGGCATGAGGGTACACACTTGTAATGCCAGCACTGGGGAGGCAGAGGCAGAAGTACTAGGAATCCAAGTGTATCTTCTGCTACATAGTGGATTTGAGTCTAGCCTGAGCTATGTTAACTCTGCCTCAAAAATAATAAATCAAAACAAAATGTCTTCAGAATTAGGATAAAATGAGATACTTGATAGTGGGTGGCAGAGGCCAACCCTAAGTTCTGGCACAGGTCCTCAGGACAAAAAAGAAGACCAAAATCTGTGACCTGAGCCATTGAGGGATTTTCTGAGGTTAAGTCTGAGGGGTCCAAGGAGGTAGACCCTGACCTGGACTATTTTTGAAGAGTTGACCAATACAGACACCTTTTCTGTGATGATGCATAAAACCAAAGTGATTTTAGGGAAAGAAAAAAACCTGTTGGAGTGCATCAATTAGCTCGTGTCCACTAATATTAGAAGCATTTGCAAGTGTAACTAGGTGAAGTAACAATATAATTACAAAACAGAAATATAAAGATGATGACAGATGCCCTGTGTAGAGTCTGACAGGTTTTGCAGATGATTTTCTCTGTATGGTCTTATTTCAACTATTTCTTTCTTCAGTCCTTACCTAATCCTAGACCTAGTTTATAAAAAGATGTATTATCCAACCACAGGTAATAACTTTATGTTCTGGGTGGAAATTACAGCTCTAATGATCAGTTATTTGCATGCAGAGTCCTTCACTTGAAGTTCCAACATCAGCACACATACCCAGAACAGCGACACGCCCCTGGCTACAGCTGTAGACATGGAGGAAGGCCTGTTCAGTGTTTGCACACCTCCCGTGGTCTATCCCCGCTTTACAGCCTGCTCCTCACTACGGTGGCCCCACTGCATCCTAAGGTTCCATCCTCCTTCGTTGTCTTGGTGTTAGGGAGCTCACTGCTTCAAGAGGCAGCTTAGGGACACGCCGTGAATGATGGATGACTCACTGATGTAGCATCCATTTCTCTCCTTACTTCCAGAATCTCAGGGGCTACAGCTAAGCAAGAGTCAAGGCAGAAACAGGGCTGTGTGCAGTTGCTTTGCTCTTAGTCCAGGCCAGTGGGAACTAGGAGACCAGCAGAGAGGAGGGGGCAGATATTCAGAATGGACATTTGTGACAGTAGGGGCCTCTGTGGAGTGCCTTCTGTTTTCTGTCATCTCGGTCCTCAGAGTTCGTATGCCTGAGCCACCCGTTTGGGGAAGCTGGGTGTGGAGGGTGGGGTTTCACAGTTTATGTTGGTGCTTTTCCAGTCATTCTACCAAGTATGGGGCCCATGCTATGTGTTGGCACTGAGCTAGGCATTTCACGTGTGCTTTTGGCAATGTGTACAAGGATAGAACCAATATGGTGTTACTATCCCCACTTTTAGGTGTTGGGATGAAGGCTTACAGAGTATAGTCAAACCCGCTGTGGTTTAACCAAAATCCACGTTCCTTCTCTGTCCTCTGCAGGCTTAGGATTTAACTTCCAGATGCTGTTAGGTATACAGCTCGTGGGATGACCCTGTGCAGGCTTTAGGTACCCAGTGATGCCAAGTGTTGCAGAGCTCAGTGCCTGTGGCTGTGATTTAGAGCATGATGGCATTAGCAAGAACTGGGAAAGCAGTAATAAATTGCTCTTTGGGCGGATATAAGGGAGGGATTATCTAAGCCTTGCTGTTTCTATTGTTCAGAGGGGAGGGTTGAAAAGTTAGTGGATCGTAGGCTTCTAAAAGTGTTTGTCTATTAGAAGGGGTGGTATCTATGTAGAGGGTAATATCCAACAGTCATAGAGGGCTAGGACCGGTTTGTAACTGGAACTGGTAAAGATAGAAAACTTCTCTGGAGAGGGAGGGGCTTTTCTTGCCTACTCAACCAGGCATCTGATAGCTCAAAGGTGTTTCTCAGTGACAGAGCCACCCCATCTTACTTCTGTTTGCGTAGCTCAATTCACTTGTTTAGAAGTGTTCCCTCGTTCACATTGACTTGCTAGCTTGTGTTTCCTCAGGGAACACCCGTGCATTGTTTTCTTCTTTTCTTTTCAGCCTTAACCAGGGGGATGCACATGACAGCCTCCCCATCCTTTCCCCCAATAAAGATGGATGTTACCCCATGCTATTGTGATAGTCTTATGGTTCTCTGTGCATATTTAATTCCATCTGTACATCTGCCCATCTATCCCTTCATTGACTCATTTACTTCTAAACAGTTACTTAACATGTACCACACACAGCATGCTGTGAGCACGATGGGACCGGGAGGCATGCATAGAGTCCCGGAGCTTCCTCTTAGCAGTCTCACAACATGCAATGGAGGTCAGACATCCGCCATCCAGAAAGCAAGCAGGATGTGATGTTATCTCAGGTTTCAAGGAGAAAGTGGAATTTGGAGAAAGGAGTCCTAACTGTGGAATTCAGAAAAGGCTTGGTGGAAGAGGAGATCTCTGAGCTGGACTTAAAGACAACTCACATTTAGAAGCCCCGAGCTGGGCAAGAAGGTGCTCAAGAGTACACAAGCAATCTGGCAAAGAGCCCTAATTTGGAATGTAAGGGGTGGGTTTAGATCCTCCCATCCCCAGGTGACATAGACTTTAGCTAAGTGCTCTTGGCTAGCTTCTTTACCTCAGAAGTTTCCTCACTCTCACCAGCATAATTGGGGAGACATTCCCTAGGGTGGTGTGGGGACTAAAGGAGAAAACACTGAGCACGTAGCAGTGTAGGCTGTAGGACACACAGACTAAACATCCGCTACAGCTAATCCCTACATCTCCATTTCTTACTTTGTGTTTCTGTGGTTTGTTTGTAGCTTCAGTTCCCATGGCCAGAAAGCCGAGCCTTAGAGAACTTAGGTAGAGCCATATGGGTAAGAAAGGATAGCTCCCAGATTTGAGTTCAGGTTTGTGTGTGCCCACATCCACAACACCATGGCCGTTGCTTATCCAGTGCACAGGTTTATATTGAACATATACAGGCACACTATGGCCCGGGGATGGGGCTACAGAAAACAAGGCAGGGACATATCTCTGTCCTAGGGAGACGCTTGGGGGGATGGGGATGGCTAGCACAGTGTAGTAAGTAACTGGCCTGTGTTGCATGCTAGGTGTGACTCTAGGATACAAAGATGCATTGAGCAGGAAAAGAAATTCAGACTTGTGGTGCAATTTTAAACTCATGCCCAGAAAGCACCCCTTTGCAGGGACAGGCCTTGTAGAAAGAGAGTTAGGTACAAGGGCTAAAAAGAGACAAATTGTTACAAAAGTTATAGCTTCTAAAAGCTGGACTTAAAAACAGGAAAGCCAGAACAGGCATGGGGTCATTGTACAGGGTTGATGGGAAATCTTGTTGCAAAAATCCAACGACAGCCCACCCACCTGTCAACCCCTGACAGGGTTTTCCACATGGAGGGCCTCTGGCCTTTGACTGCCTAGGCCCGTGTTCAGAGGGAAAGTTTCCATTTCCAAGTGAGGCTGTTGTTGTACTTGAGATGGAAACACAAGCTGGTTAGTGTTAGGGAAGCTCTATGTGTTTGTTTTTAAAAAATGAAGAAGCCAGGTGTGATGGCACATTCCTGAAATCCCAAGTACCCAGGGGGCAACTTCCAGGCCAGCCTGTGAGTTTTAGGCTGTCCAGGGCTACTAGTGAGAACCCATCCCAACATACTACAAGAAAACAATGGGGCAGAGGGGTAAGGAAAACAATGGTTCAGTTAGGGACAGTCTCAAAATAGTTTTTCTTGCGTTTCTGCAAAGAGGAGAAACATTGCTAAGCTCAGAGTCTGGAAGATTCCACGGAAAGGTTGTTCAGGGACCACCCACTGAAGCACACAATGGCTTTCCCATGAGGCTGATGGAAACAGCCCATGTAGTTAAAACATCCCATAATGGAGCTTATTGTTAGTGCTTTCTCATAGCTTCATCTATTGAATTGGGGTCAAAAGTTCTTAGGGAGTTATTTATCCTTATAAATGGGTTTCCTCCATAAAAGACCCAAGAATGATGGAAAATGACTTCCTTTTAATTCAAGTGATTTGCCCACCCATATGCAAACACTGTGGGAGATCTCTGAGTGGGACTGGAGGACTGTGTGCCACATGCTGTAGGAGAGCAATAGGTGTGTGTGTGTGTGTGTGTGTGTGTTCATGTGTGCATGAAGGTACTCAGAGGGCCAGAGGTCACTGAGCCACCGTCTTAGCCCTTACAATAGTAACTTACTTTTGAAAAGGTTTGTATATTTGTTGCATACGCACTGGGTACATTCTCTGTCTGTCTGCCTGGAGGAACATGTTCATGTGAGAGCACATATGTGTGGATATGTGTGCATGTGTGCATGGAAGGCAGAAACAAGTCTCAGGGGTTGGTCTTCCAGAGACAGCCATCTTGTTTCGTAAGACAGAGCCTCTGGGATTGGAGCTAGCTGAGCCGACTAGGCTGGCTGGCCAGTGAACCTTAGGGATATATCTGTTTGTGCCTTCCCACAGCAAGGGTTACAAGTACTGGCTGCCATGCTTGGCTTTGCAGGTGGATTCTGAGGACTGAACTCAGTTCCTGTGCTTGCTCAGTCAGCAGGTTACTGAGAGCTGTCCCCTCAGCCCCCACAAAGTCTATTGAGACGTTGACAGGAGCCTCTTATGCCCAAGTATTTCTTAATCACATGACTCTGATAGCAACATTCTTTCTTTTCTAGAAGATACATATGAGCGCACCCTGGTCGTTGATGGAGAAAGTGCAACAATTATCCTCCTGGACATGTGGGAAAATAAGGTATGCAGGGCCTGTGGCTGCTAGTGATTTCTTTTAGGGCTTGCCTTTCAACAGGCTCCTTGGGGGCCAGAGTGACCTTGTCCTACATAGTGGATGTTCCAGATGCGGGGCTCATTTTCTTGATTAAAAACATTTACTTCTGAAGAACAAGCTTGCTGAAGAACAGGTTGTCCAGAGATGAGCCCTAAAGAACAAACAAATCGCAGTGGCTTGCCCTGAGTTCTATTAAAAACCACAAGAACCTGTCTGTTTTAGGGAAAGTTCAAAACAAGAATGGCCACTTATTTTCAATGACACAAAACCATGTTGTGTGAAGCTGGCCTTCTCAACACTGCATTCCAGCATGGCTTTCCACGGGTTTTAGGCTGCCCGGCATATATGCAAGATCGTTTGTTGATTGAGAACCCTCCTGTTCTCCCAAGGATTCTTAGTTCTGCCCTTTAGGGGAAACAAAAGGAAGCTTTTAGGGAGTCAGAAAAGGCCATTTTGGGCAGGCTAGATTGTAATCGGAAATATTGTTTGTCAAAGTAGCTATGCCGTAGCAGTAATTGGAAAGTAAGCTTTGGGGCATAAAAACAATGCAGAGTGCCTTTCTTTTTGTCCCTAGACATCTTGGGAGAGCAATGCATATTGAGATGTTGGAAGCAGTTTTCTCCCCTAGTCTTACTTGGGATAGACATACAGGTTCTTTGCAAAACGACACCTCAATTTTCTGGCTTGCCTGAGCTCACAGGAGGTCTTTTTATCTGGATAGGGGGAGAATGAATGGCTCCAGGACCATTGCATGCAGGTTGGCGATGCCTACCTCATCGTCTACTCCATCACAGACCGAGCGAGCTTTGAGAAGGCTTCTGAGCTAAGGATCCAGCTCCGCAGGGCCCGGCAGACAGAAGACATTCCCATCATCTTGGTTGGCAACAAAAGTGATTTAGTGCGGTGCCGAGAGGTGTCTGTGTCAGGTGAGAGGGCGTGCGGTCCTGGGCACCGCCCTTGCATGGCACGCACTGGACTGCAGGCAGGTTCCCCTCCCCTTTCCCCTGCGCAAGGAGAGGCTCAGAGGGATGCTCCATGGAGTCTCATGTCTAAGACTTCCAAGGTTCCCATCATTTGTGTTACTCATCTCTTGTTCTTATTCTCTGGTCTACCCGAAGGGTCCCAGGCTTCCCACTGCCCTTTGGGTGTTCTCCAGGAGTAACTTTAGGGAGGAGAACATCCTCAGGGATTTACTGGCAGTCTTAACCTTTGCTTCTTAACCTTCTATTCTCCAAGCAGATCCCAAGTTTAGGGGAGGAAAAGCGATGTATTAATGCAAGAATGGGGAGCTCTGGGTTAGGAGACAAAAGAAACGGTATTATACTCGGGTCGTTGGTATTCCATCTAATACCCTCCAACGCCAGCCCCCTCCTTCCTAAGCTTCTGCGAGGGCATCATACTGTTGAGATCACACATGCTTCTCCATCCTTAGTTCAAGGATGATTGCTATTTGATGAGTGTGCCTCTGTATTCTTCTTAAGGCCCTCGATTGTTTTGGCCTTATGTAGATTTAGTAGAACCATAAAAACGAAACACAGCACTTTCAGTCCCTGCTCAGTCAAGATGATTTTTCCAGCTAGTTGGACTGTCTTTCTAGGACACAACAACATGCATTGGTTAGATCTTTTCAAACTCAAACTTGGACAGATGGTTATTAAACACGGTATCTGAAGTCAAGAGTTTTAGAAAAGCTTGAATAGTTTGATATAACTATATTATATATTTACAAAATCAACATTTTTGCCCCCAAAGATCTTATCTCATCATTTTTTTTAAAGACAGGAAAGCTAAGTAGCAGACTTAGAATTACAGGTTTTAGTGAGGGTTACTGAGTTAGGAGAAGTATATAAGCTTGGGCATGGAGCAGGTCTGGATGTCCCGTCTCTGTCAGCTGTGAAACATGAGTTTCTTCATGTTTTTAAACACTTCACCCAGTTTCTTCATCTTTCCGATGAGGATATGGCACATTATCCAAGTTTGTTATGAGCAGTGGAAAGGGTTTGGAAAGAGCGTGACCTGCTCTTGTGAATGTAGTAACCCTTTAGGGAGTGGAGGCCGTGGTTTCTGCTGTTGTAATTAGTATGAGTGTATTTGATGAAATCGCACTTTTCCATAGCGAATTTGTGGTGAGCCGGATCTAACCGGCTTCCTGGAATCCTTATGGTTTATTTCTACTCTTACTGTGGTGGCCCACCCCATAATATAGTCTACTGCCCTATGTTACCTCTAGTGCAGTTCTTGAAAATGGGCCCCCAGTGTGACCACATTGTGTAGGATCATATCTGATTTCTTCTCCCTTCCTGCTTTTCAGAAGGGAGAGCTTGCGCTGTGGTGTTCGACTGCAAATTCATTGAGACCTCTGCGGCCGTTCAGCACAATGTGAAGGAACTGTTTGAGGGCATTGTGCGGCAGGTGCGCCTGCGCAGGGACAGCAAGGAGAAGAATGAGAGGAGGCTGGCCTACCAGAAACGGCGGGAGAGCATCCCCAGGAAAGCCCGGCGCTTCTGGGGCAAGATTGTGGCCAAGAACAACAAGAACATGGCCTTCAAGCTCAAGTCAAAATCCTGCCACGACCTCTCTGTTCTCTAGGCACCCAGTGTCACTGCCACCCAGATGTCTCCCTGGTGGACATCGCTGAAGGCCCTTGGGACCAGTGATCTATATTAGATTGAATACATGAGCATTGTTAGAGGCTCCTTCCTCTATTGCAGATGGGACTAACAGGTTAGCCTCAGGGGCAACCAAGTGCACGGGCAAGGAATCTTTGTCAGGAGTCAGTATTTATTCTTAGGATCAGGTTGGCCTGCTACATGGACACCTGAGACTCATTTAAGGACATATTTAGGGTTCACATGGTTGTTTTCTCTTCTTTGGGTAGCAGAATATTGAAGCTTATGAAGAACGCCTAGTATGTCTCATCACCGAAGTTTTGCCCAATTTTGTTCTATGTGAATCTGATGCCCTTGAGTCATAAAGAAATCTAGGGAAATAGTGAGAGCTTATTAGAAGGAGGATGCTTTCTGCATACTCATCTCCCTGGAATGACAGGTGTAGAACCGGCCTCATCACAGTTGTGACTATGAGAAGTGTTGGAATTTGCTGGAAACTAAGCTCACTATTAGTTTTTGTTTAAAGCCCACAGATACTTGTAGACTTAGGAGCTGATGTATGTAGCACTTATAGTTCAAAAGATTGTTTACTTATGTGCTTATTTTGAGGAAACTACTTTTGCCAAATTTGACTTAGTCAAATCTTCTTTTATGTCTTGTTGTTTTTGAAGTCATGGAGCTATCATAAAATATTTTTTTAAAAATCCCAACTATTGATAACCTAGGGTGCAAAATGATTGCACTTGAAATATAATCAAATGTTTCCCCCCCCCAAGCATAAAAAGGCCTGATCCTTTGGGTTGATCCTTGTATGCTACAGCTATGTTCTATTTATTATTATTTTGCAAATAACCATTTTAACATTTGATAAAGCATATTTATGGACATATTTCTTACCGAGAAAAATGTGTTTTATTACCTTTTTTATCTTTTTCAAAATATGAAAGTTTTTATCTATGTCTTATAATAAAATAAATAAAATCTTTGAAAAGGAAGGCCTTCTGATTTCCTCCCCAAATAAGATATGTAATATTGTTTTTCATGGCTTTAGAACAAGCTGTCTCCCTATGAGATTGCTTCTCCTGTCATTCCTGGTGGCTCAGTACTCAGCTGGTTTTTTTTTTTTAATCCCTTACTTCTATCATTTGGAATCACAGTTCACAGTAAACGAGAGATATTTTTGGCTGATTGAGTTGGGAAGCATTTGGGGTCATATAAATCTGAGCTATAATCAAAGCTGATTGACATTTTACTTTGGGTCTGGCAAATTCCTGACAGAACAGATGGACCTAGCTTTGTCCCTTGAGGGCTCATGGTCTTAGGTTTCCCTAAATCATCAGGGGGGATTTAAATCGGTCTCCCCTCTCCCTCTGTCAGCTGAGGGCTGTTGGGATTGGTGATTTACTGCCTGAGATCTAACCAGGCAAAGCTTAAACCGTTTGCCCTCTCTGTCACTTGGTCTAACTCCCAGGGCAACACGTGACACTTGTTGGACTAGAACCTTCTGGTGTTCCTCTTCTGGCTCCTCCTAGACCCTCCTTCCTTTTTACCCCATTATCTTTTTGAGGTTGTAGACGCCCTAATAGTGACATACCCATGAGACCTCCTGAATCTCCTCAAGCTTCTGTAGTTGTCCAAAGTAGATGTCATGTTTTGTTTGGCACTTCTTTTCCCAGTTGAGGGCGAAGGTTCCATGTCCGTCCACTTTATATCTTTGAACTGCTCAAGAAATTGCACAGGGAGCTGATAGGAAAGAGTAAGGCTGCACAGGCCTGGGATGAACTTTGACCCTACCTTTACTTGAGCCAGAGTGTGTCTCTGGATCGATGAGTAAGCATTTCTAGTTTTCCCATCTTCGAAACTGACTTGCTCATGACACCTTCCTTGTAAGGTGGCTGTGAGAGTGACGGCTGTCTCTGTTGGTCAGTGAGGCCCTTCCTTGCTGTGTGTCTCTCTGCGAAGCTTAGAACCAGCTTATGAGTCTGTTCCTCCCAGTTCAAAAGAAAACCCTTCACGTCCTAGACTGCCATGCCTTTCCTTTCCCCTGATGTCTCTGCTTTTCTATACAGCACTTGCATGGATTGGGACTTTCATGGATGTTTCTTCTTGAATTTCACATCTTTGGTGGCACACACACACACACACACACACACAACACACATTGCCTAGTATACATGCTGTGACCACATAGAACACACACCATGTGTACAAACTGCAAGTAGCACAGCACACACAAACTCTACATATATGCATCTTCATATTAATTTTACTCTGTTTTAAAGCTCAGCTTCTGCCAGCTAGAGGTGGCGCATGTCTTTAACAGCAGCACTTGGGAGGCAGAGGCAGGTGGATTTCTGAGTTCCAGGCCAGCCTGGTCAACACACTGAGTTTCAGGACAGCCAGAGCCACACAGAGAAACCTTGTTTCAAAAAACAAAACAAACAACAACAAAAAACCATGACCACCACCAACTCCACTCTCATCAACTCTTTCAGAAAACCTCTCTCCTTCACTCAGTGGCTGACAAATGACAGTCCTCCGAGCTCAGAGCTGGGATCCACAAATGACAGTCCTCCGAGCTCAGAGCTGTGATCCGTGCTGTCTGCCAGCTCACAGCTTGTCCCAAGCTGGAGGTCATATGCCACGCTGCAGTTCTGGAAAGCTTTAGATTAAGAGCTTCTGCTGTAGAGTCAGACAGACCTGGATTTTGCACACTGGGTGCCACGAGAGTGGCATTCTCTATTCTCTCCCAGCCTCATTTCCCATCTGTAATGTCAGGAGAACAGAGTGCCTTGTGGGATTTGATGAGGACCATGCTACCTCCAGGGAGAGCTGTGGCCCCTCCCTGTGGTGCAGCATAGGCCCCTCCTCTCACTCAAGCTCCCTTTCACCTTAGCACACACCCAGGCACTGCTGGGTACTGGGAACATGATGATGACTAAGACATTGTACTTGTCCTCAGAAGCCTCATTAGCAGTAAATCTCACTGTCCCCAATGAGAAAAGGAGGCATCGTTGGGAAAGGAAGAAAATAAAACAAAGTATGGAGAGTATTGCACTTGGAAGGGATTGTGTTTGCTTCCCCAAGGTAAAATTCAAATGAGGGAATCATCACAGAAATGATTGACTAGATGTGAAGAGGCAAGCTGGGCTTCAGAAACTTGCCTTCCATGGTAGTGGGGCATTGGAGAAATGTTTTGCTTACCAGCACATGCACTGTTGAATTCAGGAAAGGAGGAAAGCTGTAAGAAATTTACGCAGTTAAAGCCAGTGATGGAGTCCATGCCTGCAATCCCCGTGCTTGGGAGACTGAGGCAGGTGCACTGTGAGTTTGAGGCAAACCTGGACTACAGAGCCAGAGCCAGAGCAAATAAAAATAAGTAACTTAGCTGCTTTTAAGGTACCATGGGGGACACAGGATGCAACAAAGCAGCTTACCCTCAAGATTACGGTGTGGTTCATAATGCTGGGGAGTGGGCATGATGGTGATGGACAACAAGGGCTCAAGAACCTGGAGTGTGATGTGGAAGAGAGTAACAGATGTGAGACATTCGAGTGCGAGCCAGCCAGCCAGCCAGCCAGCCAGCCAGCCAGAGGCAGACAGAGACAGAAACAGAGACAGACAGCCATAGACACATAGACAAACAAACACACACACACACACACACACACACACACACAGAGAGAGAGAGAGAGAGAGAGAGAGAGAGAGAGAGGCATATCGGCAGAGAGACACATGCACAGATAGAGATAGGTAGATAGATAGATAGATAGATAGATAGATAGATAGAGATAGAGAGAGAGAGAGAAAGTATGAGTGACCTTGATTCACAGAGAAGGTGGCCAGAAGCGGCTGGGACAATGAAGTTACATATGGAAGACTACTTGGAGTCAGCAAAGCTGGAGGAGCTATGGAAGGGTTCTCCCCTAAAGACTTCTCACACAGTGTGTCTCAAATGACAGCGGTCCAAGTTCTAGTGTCTAGGCCTGCAACAACACTACACTGATTTCTGTTGTTCTAGCCACTAAGCTATGCCAGTCCCATCACTGCTAGAAAACCGAGAACCCTGGGTCATTTAGAACAAGGGTCTTAGATGACTGAGCCCTACACCACTCATCTGAAAGGTGACATCCCAGGAATGTCACGAGGCCTGACATCTTGCTTACTTATTAATTCATCTTCTAAGAGGTGGGGAGGGGACGGACTGGACAGATAAGCTGGGTATGTGGAGCTTCAAGCTGGGAATTCAGGTGACTAATGTTCCCAAATAGGGTGTGCCCCTAACACGGCTTCAGGACGCCTCAAGGGCTGAGGAAGTTGGCTGGAACGGAAGGAGAGCTCCATGTCAGATGAACGGCAGGACGCCACTGCCTTGGACTGGACTGAGTGAGGTGGTTCATGCAGAGGGTCATCCTTCAGGGCAGATGAGGCTCTCTTAGGATGTGCTCTAGAGAAGATACCGAGAGCACGTGTGCATGGCAGCAGTCACCCCCCAAGTGGAGTACTAACAAAGCTGTAAGGCCTGGTCCCCACAGAGAGGCTCAGGGCCAGGCAAAGACGCCGAGCCAGCAGGCCAGGCGCATGTCCAGCATGATTTCACTGGAGTAAGGTTATAGGTAGGGAAATGCCTAGAAGACAGTCACAGAAGAGCAGGTGCCCCTAAGCCTTCAGAGAGCGGCTGAGTCAACCCGCAGAGGTGGAGAAATATGTACAGGGCACCTGTTTTTGTGCTCAGAGAGGGGAAACGAAATATATGCCAATCAAGGACTTGGGGTTTTCTGTGAAGGAATATACAGGCGATTCTCTCTCTCTCTCTCTCTCTCTCTCTCTCTCTCTCTCTCTCTGTGAGTGTGTGTGTGTGTCACTCTTCATGTTGGAGAACTGAGTACAGAATAGCTTCACATGTGAATGAGACAGCCAGACTCTTATCTTACTCCACATTTCAATATTTATGTTCCCCCAAATGGGGAGGCTGTCAGTAGCAGAAAGCATTTCAGAACACAGCAAGGACACCAAGCATCCTGGAGGCACACCCCCTTTCCACCTTCACCTAGGCCACCGGTACTTAGGGTTAGTGTGGCAGTGGTCACATAAGTAAACACCAAGCTGCCCCCTGCGTCTTTTAGACTATCAGGAGTTTAACCTCCAGATTTCCTGCCAGGAACATCACAGTGTCAGAAATACGAGGATTGATCCACTAGCATCATCCAGAGGCCCCGCGCTGGTGGCTGACTTGGAAGAGAAAATGGCTGGCTTTCATATCATTTTGGTGGATGTCCTTCTGGGGAAATGAACATCACCAAGGAAGGGCACATGTGTGACTACCAGAAAATGGACCTGGAACAAAGTGAGAGAAGACATTCAGCTTAAGCTATTGGCTTTCGCTTGGCTAAAAGACAAAATCAGATGTATCTGAAAGTAGTTGTTTCTTTCTCCATAAACACTAGACCAGTCAAAGCAACGAGGGGGGGAGTGGAAATCCTATTTTAAAAAATCCAAAGGAATTGCCTGTGATTCATATATTTGATTATAAGACGGGGCTGGTGGCCTGCATAATGTGTTTCAGTATTTGGAAACAGCTTGTGAGGACCTTGGGTTATGGGAAGAGTTAGTGAAACCAGGGCCTCAAGGTGTCTTTGGATGAGAACTGCAAACATCTAAGAGCGGAGCCAAGGAGGCAGGGAGTCCTGCATGGCGCTGCAGCAGCGGCACGGGGCGCTGGGAAGGGCACATGCGAACAGTCATGTGTGAGTTATCTGAGTCACCGCCAACAGACAGCTGATGGGGATGGGAGTGGCTAATGTTTATTTTGGGCTCTGTCACGTGGTAGCACATGTCCGTCTCTTGACTCCAAAAGATGACTCAAACTTAGAGGTTGAGAGGCCTTTCTATGCAAGGAATTATCCTGAACCTGACACCAAGTGTTATTTGCTCCAGGTACCTCAGTAGCCCAGTTTGCTACGGGTGTTGGATCATCATGGAGACCACAAG